TTTTTTTTTTTTTTTTTTTTTTTTTTTTTAATAAGAATCTTCCCACGCTTTACTTTGATTTTTTTAAAATTTTGATAATCCTTTTTTTTTTTTGGGGGGGGGAGGGGGAGCGGGGGCGGTTAAGTGTTGCAGGTTCTTATGTTATAAAGCATTTTATAGCCTACTAATTTCTTTTGTGCATTAGATGGAGTAGCTACCCGGCTACAGATATATTTCTTCGCTGATTTTAGCTAATTTTATTGGCTTTTAAGACAAACAACAGAGTATAAAATATTATTATTATTATTATTATTATTATTATTATTATTATTATTATTATTATAAAGCACAGATGCATTTCACACTAAGACATTTGACACTAAAGAAGTTCGTGTGAAAATTTAAATTTGAGTTATTAAAATCTTAACAATGGTCTTCCTGTATTCGTAGCACGCCTACAGCGTGGTGCTTTCACACAGACAACGCGAATTAAGTCTTTATAAAATCAGAAGGCAAATTACATTTCGACAACGTACTATTTTCGCTCTCCTCATTTTCACGTTAAAGCGTGCGTGCGGATACGGCAAAATTACTGACAAACAGATCGTTTCAGCAAATAAACGGCCCGAGCAATTATTTAACAGAGATCTAAGCTAACTCGATCCCTTGGTCGCACGCTCATTTGTCAGAGGGTAAATTATTCTTTTGTGGGCGAACAACACCACACAAAAATGCACACCTGCTTAACCCAGCGGTTTTATGATTACAATCGAGACGGGGCCGAATATGTATCTATAAAAGGTTAATTTTAACGCTCAGAGATTATTAAAATAGCGAGTGATTTACCAAAGTAAGTTTCTTCAAAAATTGAAAAACCCTGTGCTGAAATACACAAAGTTTTTGGGTTCAACAAAGCAATACGTGAACTCTTCAATTGAACAATTAATATGTAGACAGACATGTGGCCAGCAATTTTAAAGAGGGTTTTTTCTGAAAAATAAGTGGAATCCCCCCCCCTCCTTTTTAGTTATTCCAACTTGAGAAATGGCAGAGAACTTCGATCATACAGTGAATCAAAATACATCTTTAACGGACAAAAGAGTTCTTACGCCCCCCCCACCCCCCGACACCCCACTCTCCTTAAGAGCCTGAAGACGACCCGAGAGACATCTTGCATTTGTCCAAACTGAAATTCGTATCGGAGAGGGGAGGTGGATGACCATAACTTTTCCGCGTCTTTTCATTATCTTAGCTTTAAACCTCATCCTCCTCAAGAAAGTCCAATGACTTGTCGTTTCAAAAAAAAAAAAAAAAAAAATGCAAAGAAACAGGCTGTTTAGACATCTTAACCTGTTCACTGAACCGCACAGTGCACTTGGCGGATAGAGTGATCCGTGAAACTACACCCCGGCATTTCTTGTGTCGGACATTTGATATTACCATGCGGGTTAATTTGGACTGTAGAAATAGCAAAACGGACTTAAATAATGTCCCTGTTTTATTGGAACGAGCCCGATCACGATATGGGTTGTTAGCTTAACGGGCAGAGTCAAAAGAGAAAGAGGATCGAAATGGCGGGGTGGGGGGCTTAAGAATTCAGGGCATCTCTCAGAGTTAAGGCAAGAGTGTCAGAGTATATGTGAGCGAGTGCGCGCGCGCCCGCGTGTGAACATGTGTGCTTGTGTAAGCAAGGTAGTGGTAAGGCAGTTTTATTATTTTTCCCCCCTCCCCCTTTTCTTTTCTTAGGGATGTAAAGGATATGGGAATTATTTATTTTTTACTGACTGTGACAAAAGGGATAAAACGTAGATTAAACGAAGAATTGTCTGCCGAAAAAAATGCAATGTCTGTCTAAGCCAAGCTAATGAATATCTGGACTCTCTCTGCTAAATGACATATTCCGCACATTGTAATTGTCATGCTACCCGTCAGAGCCCAATGCAATAGTATTGCCAACATTGAAATTAAATTTAAGTTAAATTTTTTGATCAATATAACGTTTTCTTTTAAATTGTACACACATGAAATTGATCAATCAATTTTTAAAGAAGATTTTAAAAACATCAAATTTAAATAATTTTGATACCAATATAGTATACCCTTATGAAACTCTTACACACAAAATATATAGTAGTATGCCAGCATAGATATAAATTTTTCCTGAAGTTACTGAGTACAAATAGTATAATATGGTAGTGTACCACTATAAAACTCGCATATGCGGGTACTTTATGAATCATTTAATTATAGACCCTTATCTCTCAATACAACTGTTATTTGTTGGAGTCTGAAAGGAAAATAACGATAGATGGAAGCACAAAGAAATGTTCTTGATGACCATTCCCACAATTATCTTTTTTTGTACAGTATGAATGCATTTCTATACATAAAATTTAAATAACAACTGACTGGAAATTATTAGTCCAAAAAGAGATTCATAATTTGAGATGTGTCAGACGGGTGATTGATAAGCTTCTTGAACCAATTAGCATGATTGTGCCAAATTTCATCTTACGTCAGCCGACAACGTTGAATATCATTAACTTTAAATATAAAACCTTGTCTAATGGCGGGCCCAGAGGGCATAGACTCCCCTCCCCCCCCCACACACACACACAAACACCCCACCATTTACCTTCAGGGATCCCCCAAATAACAGCATTGCAAGCGAAACAGGACAAAATCAAGAAGTATTTTCTTCTCTGTGCCCTATATAATATATTTACCATCTCCTCGTCTACTTTTTCTTAAACACGTATAACTAAACCTTGTCGGATTAGCCCCTCTACATATCTGAAACAAATTAACTGATGACCGTTCTCCCCCCCCCTCCCCCCTCTGCATGATGTACTAATAAATCAAGTTTAAGGAGCTAAACGAAACAATTTCGAGCTATCCCCCCCAACCCTGTTGTTCACATACAGTTCTCATACTGTTCTCTCCTACAGTTTACTGTGAGACCGACGAAAGGCAAACAACATCTATCTTTGCCCCCCACCCCCACCTCCAGCCCCCTTAACAGAATTAACCCGTTTTCATTTTTCAAACGTTGTCTACGCCACACCCCGCAGTTAAATTTGCACTGAAACCGAGACTGGCGTTGGTATAAAATATGACCCTACGAGAAAATGATCCCTTTGGCAGATTGAATGTCGACACGAAGTGTTGTGTAGACAATGTGTTCAAGTTCACTAATGGATGCCCGCATCTTTTTCTCCAAAAATAATGTTTACTAATGAAAAGCATACCTACCCGCATTCTCACGTCTGCTCGTTTTCTTCAAGTGCGCGACAGCCATTTCCAAGATGTCAGCTTTCTCCAGGCGAGAGTTGCGCAAACCCTAAGCACAATAGAAAACAATTCATGTAGAATAAAATTGACAAAAAATAAAAAGTGTCGGTAAACATTATAACCTGCCAGACTATTTTGAAAAAAGAGTTTTATAGACTGTGAAATTTTAAAAGGGTGGTTGGTTCACAAGGTCTTCATAAACTGGAATTCCAGCCAGGAAATTGTTGGAAAGAAACGGCGATGTGTATCTGAAAGAGAGTTGTGTTTTCAGACCCAGATGACCCGACCAGACTTATTCTTGAAAAAAAGTTGATTTTACCAATTTTATTTTCATGAATTATTGTTGTAAATTTCTACCGGCGTGACGTCTTTGTGTCAAGCGGCGCCAAACCATACAATGAAATAAGACAGTCTGTTGGTTTTAACACATGCGTGAAAACTGTGAAAAAAAAAAATAAAATAATGAACACGAAGTTGATTAATATGATTTCCGGGTTGTTAAAGATGTAAAAAGAGCCGTTACGAAAACATTCGAAAAATGGATCAGTAAAAATATATTTTATATGTATAGGGAAACAGTGATCACACACACACACACACACACACACACACACACACACAAAAAAAAAACATTTTCCACGGTTCTGTTTCCTAATGGTCTAATGACAGGCCGTGATTTTCCCCTTGGAAAACCATACTAACTAGATAACTGTAGTTGAAGCCTAATCACCACTGATTGCGATGAATACGAGGGATACGGTATAGGCTCTGGCTCTCTAGCGATATAGATACACATAAAATACCGCGGGAAATTTTCACGGCAGAGCTGGAGAAGTGGGGTGGGGGCAGACTTGGTACAGATGGGCACCCATTCTCGAATTTGTTCTCTAAGACTGACCTCAAAATGCACTCTTTGCTCCGCTCTTTGCGTTCACCAAGTAAAATGTTTATTTTGGAACGGGTTCAGCAACCTTTACATTGCCGCTATTTACTTTTATTTGCACACCCTTCATTTTTTAAAGAAAAAAACATATTCACGATTGCCGAATGGAAATTGCTACCGTCTTTCATTCGATTTAAGTTTCCTTTTTCTCCTCTTATTTTATCGACGTAGAATATTTTGCTTTCCCAAGACTGCGCCCCTTGGACCCCCCACCCCCCGAGATGGGAGCTGGGG